CACGCTCCCGTGGTCGCGAGGCGTGTCGTTGCGGGCAGTGTTTAACTGTAGTATTTTTTAGCTTCTCAGCATTCCATGGTCGAGCTATCTCATCCCCGTGTAAGTTCTCGAGGTAGTAGGCCCCGTGCGCTGTCTTGTCCCGGGCACGTTAGGGGCCTTCCTAGTTAGCGGAGAGCTTGCCCTCGCGTGAGTATTTCTGGTTTCTCCATAAGACCATATCGCCGATCTGGAACTCACGCTTTATGACCCTGCTATCGTAGCGGAGGGAAATTTTCTGTTTCAGTGCAGCTTCCCGGAGAGACGCCCCTGAACGTATTTCCTCGAATAGGTCGAGCTCATATCTTAGGGTCTCGTCGTTTGCCTCCTCCTCGAGGGGGGATTCAGTTCTTCTGGAAGGCTCCCTTATTTCTACCGAGATTACCGTCGCGGTCCCGTACGTTAGCCGAAAGGGGGTCTCCCCGGTGGTCAAGTGGGGCGTCGTTCTGTACGCCCAGAGTACGCTGTGGAGCTCCTCGAGCCGGCGCTTCAGGCCCTGCAGAATGAATCTGTTCGCGGCCTCCGCCTAGCCGTTCGTTTGCGGGTGCTTGACTGACGTGAAGTGTTGCTTTGTTCTGAACTTGGTCATAAAGTCTTGAAAGTTTTTGTCAGTGAATTGTATACCGTTGTCGGTCACGATGGCCATGGGCACGCTTGTGACACCCTCATTTTCACCTTTAGCCTTTATACCCTACATTCGGCATATCATACGTCGTTCTATTGCATATCGAGCATGCGGGTTCATAAGGTACGGATTAGGTCAGTTTGTTATTTTTCATTTCAAATGAGATAACTTGTCTATCTTGGGCTACATGGAAGAAAAAGTTCATTATCTAAGGTTTGATCTAAATTGAAAAATCTACTCATGTAGATTTCTTCAAGGAGAAGTTACTTGAAAAAATATTAGGATATTCAAGATTAATATTCCTAATGGACATGAAATGCAAGGCATAATTCAAGATTTCCTCATCCAACTTTGTTTCAAATTCTTGATCAAGTGGAGTTCAAATTTGCAAAGCATGAGTCAATATCCTAAATGCATAATTCAAGACTTCATCCATTTCAAGTGTAATGGTACAAGGAAAATCCATCATGAATTCAAGATTGGAGGCAAGAATATTACAAAGATAAATTTTTATGACATTACAAGAATGTCATTTGTTACAAGATTTCCAACTCTAAGTAATGTTTAGAAATTGATTTATTTCTAATCTTCATTCAAGTCTCTAATCAAGTCTATGATATGGTGATCTTCATGGCACGCCAAGTTTTCATGTGCTATATTATGCTCACAAATATCCAAAGAAAAATACTTAAGAGCTAAATCAACATTGGTATGTTTCAAGATCAAGACCATGTATGTTCAACCATGAGCAATATGAAGGCAATCCAAAACAGCCCCATGCAAGAAGTGGCAATATGTATCATGTTACAAAATTATTTCATGTCACAAAACCAAGGGGACAAACTTAGGTTGATACATCTACACATCAAAAATCAGAATTTGAAATTCTGCCCAAAAGGTAGTGGTGTTGACTACATGAGTATGTCCAAGCATAACCAACTAATGGATACAAGGATGGATGGCAATGTAGAGTGCTGCAGAAGAAAATACAGCAAAACATACTAGAAATGGAAGGAAGTGGGGCTGCACCAAAAAAGTGGTAATAGATATTGCCAAGAATGGAAATTCTGAAAATGGGAGAATGTGCAAGAGTTGTGGTTTTGGTACAACAGAAAAAGGCAGCAGAAAAAGTGAGATAAAGAGGGAAGGGGCTGTAAACAAGAGATTCATTCACTATCATTCACAAGATATTGAGATAGAGAGATTGAGAGCAGAGAGTAAGAGGAAAAACCCAGAAAAAATAGAGAGAAGAACAAACTCTAAAAAATAGAAAAAAAGAGAGTGACATAGAAGCACAAGAGGACCATAGAGAAGGAGAACCTTCACAACATAGAGTGAAGAGTGGAGAGCACATCCAACAAAAATCAGTGGAGGACTTGCAAGAAAGATAGAAAGTTCTTGGGTATCCATTTCAAACCTTTCTCTCTTTACTTTTTGCTTTTATATTCATTTTACTTCCACTTTTATGTGTTGTTGTACTGAGCATATCATGTAAGGTTCTAAGGGGACCAAGAAATCATTTTTTAAAAAAACAATAGAAAGGAAAGAAAACCACAAAAAACAGCAAAAAAAACAGCAAAAAACAGCAAAATATTGCATTTTTCGCTTCAGGTCGCGGCGCGAACATGCCAAAATCAGAATGAAAATTTTCCCAGTTCGCGGCGCGAACACCCTTCGCGGCGCAAACATGCAAAAACCAGAATGTTCACTTTTCTCAGTTCGCGGCGCGAACTGATCAGTTTGTTTATGATCTTCGCCCTATTGTAACTGTTCTGTGCTATCCGGGAGGTGGAGGACCGAATAATCAGGACATGAATAGTTACCTGATGACGTGTCTCCGCGTAGGGGACGCGTTGAGAACGTGGGGGAGGTCCGAGAAGCTTCCCGAGCTGGATGGGTTCTGCCCGACCGTGGGGCAGAAGAAGGGCGAGTCAGACAGCTATGAGGATACTACTCGACTGCCGTTGGTTCGTGCCCGACGGAAGAAGATGTTTTGTCCGACAGGTCTATGCCCGACGGTGAAGTCTTATTAGACCTTCTAATCTGGTGGGATTTAGGCATGCTCGACTATGGATCAAGCGTCAGTCCAATTCAGAACACTTAGGATCAATATTGGAATAATGGTTGAGAAGAAGAGTTATTAAAAGAAGTACCTCAGAGAATGAAAGTTGATTTATTGCATTCAACCACACAGAAGTATACAAATTAGTTATTACATGTTCAGCAAGTAATTATCTCTTAACAAACTAAAAAAACAAAGAAATTACCCGTTTAACCAACTTCTATTCGCATAATTAACTTTTACTCATAGAGTTTAGATTAGACTCAAAATCTTCGATATAAATTTGGAGAAAAATTGAGAGAAAACTACCCGATCACAAAAGGTAAAATATAAGGAGATAAAATATACAATCGAAATATTTAGGAGACCAAAAGTTTAATTGAACTTTTTCTGTGAAACCCTGTTATTATGTAATTGTATATTAATCTCAAGTAAGATAGGACCAACCGCAAAATTCTTCCCCTAAAATTTTTAATGTTGTTGCATTCTTAAGAATTGATTCAAATCCAAAATATTTAGTTAAGAGAAAATTAAGAGAATTTTTATTGCACTCTATTAAAATTTTTATTGTATTCTATTAAAAATTTTAGACTATTAAAATTTTTAATGTTGTTGTATTTTGCATTTTAGAGGTTACGACAAAAAAGTATTAAGTTTAAATTATTTTATACACGATTCTTGTATATTTTTAACTCTAATTATTGATTTTTACACATTTACACAAAAACTTAAAATTTATTCGAAAACTCGAAAATTTACTTGAAATTTATAGTTTTGATGATGTTGAATGATGTTATTGATAATGTTTGATGTTTCTCTGAACTTTCTTTAATGAAATTTGATGTTGTGAAGAAGTTGAAATTTATATGTGGAGAAAAGAGTTTGAGAAGAGTTTAAGAAGTGTGAGAGACGAGAAGAATCTGACGCATTATATGCTCTAAATTGTTTTGAAAATATATCTCTAAAATATTTCAACGTTCAATAAATTTTAGATATGTATTTCTAAAATCAAAAAGCATTTGTGAAATTTCATATCGAGCATTAAAAATACCTAAGATAGAAAAAAAATTAAAATTAATCCGAAAAATCACTCTTAGATAAGTTAAGCCTCCTTCCATCTCTAATTATAAAGAATTTTTTGCAAATTTTAGGGCATGTTTATTATTCCTTTCCAACTATATTTATTAATGCTACCAATTTAAAAATAACATTAAATATAGGATTTAATCCGGTCTCGAGAATTCGGAGGTTTTGATCTAATTTTAAAATAAATAATATATTTAAATAGTAAAACGGTAAGTATTAAAAGTTGAATTATTGAGTTTTGAGTCAAAAACAAACTTCTTTCTCACTATGTTAACTAATTTACATTATAAATTAAATTCAACAACTAATATTTATATATTTATTTTAGATTTATAATTTATAAAAAAATAATTTTGAAATCCTTATTTTTGATGGTCATGAGTTGTAGGTTGGCTTGTCCAGACTCAAGAACGACTTTGAATTTAATGAATATGCCCTGACAGTATAAAATAGTTATACATTATCCTTCAATAGAAAATTAACAATCAACCATGTTATTAAAAGAATTTTAAAATATAATACTACTTCCGTTTTTTTTATAAGAGACAACTTACTTCTTAGATTTATTAAATAATCAATGTATCTAGTCAAAAAACATATCAAATACAATGATTATTAAATGAATCTAAAAAATAAATTATCTCTTATAAAAAAGAACAAAAATAGTAATCGTCATTGATTGGCAGTATAAATTAATTTACCCTATCAATACATTATCTATTTTTTCTAACTTATATATTTACAATGTAAATGCATCACCATTTTCTCTAGCATGTCCACAAATTATATACATATATTGTACTATAAACTTTTCTTTATACACATGAAAAGTACCAAAATATGTTAAATAGGAAAGAAGGGAGTGTATAATTTGTCCGGAAGTATACTGAGCAATTAACTGATTACATTGAGCCAAGTTTTCTAATTTTCTAATTACAAGAGACAATTTTTTTTATTATAAGTCTGTAAAATACTAGAGTATGCAATGGATTATATTCCAACTTAACTATACTATGAAAGTTTATAGGAGCTTTACTTCAAATATAGCAGTTCCAAGCTTCAAAATATTTCAAATATAGCAGTTCCAAGCTTCAAAATATTTTTTCATTTAAACTTTAGCGATGTTCATTGCTCATTTCATTTCCATAATCACCATGACACAAGATGAAACTCATTAAAACATTGCTACAATCATGGTGGCAACACAACTTGTTGGCACAATATGAGATCCGAAATGGTCTTTCCATGCCGATCAATTCTTCGCGAACAGTTGACACCGCCGTCTAAGATGTTCCTGACAACAATATTCAGTGACTGGATTCCCTTAACTTCATATATCTCAACATTAACATTTTCACCGACAAATTTATCTCTTTGATCTCTTGCATCGAAATCAAGAGAACAAGACATATCTAGAAGTGGTGAGAGAACTGATTTTACCCATTCACATGTGATGATTGGTTTCAATCTCTTGATATCAGGAGGAAAATGTGGGATGAGGGAAAAATTAATGTCATTTCCTTTATCTCCAGCTCTGCTATGTGCTACATTGTAAAGTGGAATCTTCTGTCCCGATGGAGCTGGTGTGGAACTTCTACAAGATGAAACAAATTCCGAGGATTTGTCAGTTTCGGATTGTAACTTTGGTTGCAATGTCGATATGTGCTTCAGATTGTATTCATGATCAACTACTGCGTTTGACTGGCTTTTTGTGCTTCTCTTTATCCCAATTCGCCAGAAAACATCTTCACGGTTAACCTGAAGAAGAACCGAGTCATAATGAATCTAGCAGTATGGTAATGAAATTTGAAGTAGGATCATTAGTATAGTCCTAATGCATGCATATGATCAAGTGCGAGAAAGGCCGAAAATGAAGGGGAAGAAGAGAGTACCAAATGTTTTTCTAGAAGAATCTCTTTCTTATATCCAGTACTGCATTCAAACCGGAAAAAAAAATGTCACTAATAGTTGCAGGAGTAATACAGTGTCTCTCAAATATTATGATATTCACATCACCAATGCAAAGTTCAAATTCTTGTGTTAACATCTTTTTCCATTGCAGTTTCCGAAACGTATAGCAATGTGGAAATCTACCAGCAAAGTAAGCAAAATCATAAGTAATAGAAAACATAAGGTTTGATGAGATTGACCTGATACCTCCACCACCAGCTGGCCCGTTTGTATACAATGCCGTAAACTCTCTGGTAAACTGGATAGCGTGTTCTTTCTGCTCAAAAAGTCCGTCCATGCGTAACCTAATATCTTCACTAGTCCTCTGCGGCGAAGCATTTTCATCGCTGCTAAAAGCTTTGAGGCTATCATACCCAATCAGATAAGAAAGTATATGGTGATTAAGACCAGGAATTATTTCTTCCATCCATGATCTAACCTAATAAGGCATATGAATAATAAATTAATTGTTCTATAATGGATTTTCGGTATGATTAAGTAAGACTAAAACGGTAAGTGGAGTAAAGTTTACCACAAATTCAGCTGCTTGGGCACGTTTAACACATTCATAGCCTCCATAAGATATCTCTCCCCATCCTTTCCAACCACAATCCTGTAACAAATATTCAGAGAAAGTTAACAAAAAGATATACTATCAATATCAATATAAAAAGAAATGCAACTGAGAAATAAAACTAAAAGATACATACAGGGATTTATTTTGTGATTGCGTACAAATGGAACTTGCATTTCAAAGACAATGATTAAGAAATGTACCTTTGGAACTAACTGCAAAAGTTTATCAGGACCTGATATAGTAGATGGCTTTGCCCCAAAACAAAGTACTCTACTGCTTGATAATGGAAGGAAGGAAACATCCTGAAAGTCAATGACCTGTTATAGAATACAGTATCAGTTTTTTTGTGTGCATATTTTACACTTCAGTCATAAATTATCGATGCCCGCTGCTTCAAAAATCGTAACAAAGATCAAACTTACTACATCAGGAGTCACATAAGCACTGGGATCTCCAATCTCGTAGAGTAATTGTTCAGCACATGTATTGAAATTTATTACTCCGCCACTACCTTCAGCCTTTGCCACACACACCTCTCCGTCAAAACGGATTTCAGCATAAGGAAGTGATAAATCCAGTAGTTGCTGGAAGGACATATCACGGTACTTGTCTCCTAAAATAAACAAGACAGAGCTTAAAGAGTCATAGCTTTCACACTACGTGTGACTTATATTATATTATATTATTACATCTCAAACCATATGGAATATTAGGCAGACCTGGATGCATGAAATATCCTCCTGTGAGTTGACAACCACATTCTAGAAGATGGCCAGCCAGAGATCCTTGAGCTAGATGCTCTAACTCATCCCAGTTCCAACCAAGTTCATAAACCTGCATGTATATCAACCTAATCATTCAGAATTCATCCAACAATAATTAAATTGGAACTCTTATGATCCTATATTTGGCTTAATGGTATTTTGTTTATTTTACACATGAAAACACAATTATACTACTTAAAAAATAAGCATTGACTAAGGAGGCAAAGATGGGAAATATGAAGTAAAGAACCGATCAGATTGCATACCATAGGTGCTAAGAATAAAGCAGCATCTGCAAGTCTTGATGTGATTATTACATTTGGTTGGTACTTCTCAAGACATTGAACAATAGGAGCAGCTCCCAAGTAGGTGCTGATACCCTTCGCATATTACAGCCAAATTTCATATCCAGCTTAACAAAAAAGTAAATCGAGAAAATATACATGAATAACAAAATTTGATCAGATTCTGCATAGTTTTATTGACAGAAAAACGAAGGGAAATAGAACGATCCATTGACTTGGTTCAATATGTCAATCAGAATGTAGCTGTACAAGAGACATAAAAATAGATTCTTACACCCTCTGTGATATATATTTTTTTAGGTGAAAATCCTGAACCTGAAATATGGCATATGTATATATAAGTAGTAGAACTTTGCGTGGAGAATAATAAAAAAATCTCCCAATTTATTATCTTTCGTTTGAAATTGGACAATGGGAAATCTAAATACCTAAATCTGTAACAGACACCTCATGAGCAACAGCGACAGAGACATCAAGCCCGAGTGCAGTAGCTATTTCTAAGACCTTCTGTTGAGCACCCAGAGGATCCACTTTAGAAATGAAGAATGAACGGCGTTAGAAAAAAATGCAAGAAACCATGTAGTCCATCAGTCTAAGTGTCAATGAACTTATAATATCGTTCGATGAGCAACAGTTGGCACATGATCCATTAAATGCAGCATTAAAAGTTCTTACTAGCACCCATATTGGTAATTATGCAAGTTCCTCGTTCAAAAGCCAGAGGCAACAGCATATTCATCCAGCTAGAAACTGCAAATAAAATTTTACAACAATCAGAAACTTATGAGAAAAATGCACGAGCAGGAAACAAAACTGCATTTTTTTCTGATATATATCAATACAGAGCCGTCTCAATTTTTTCGGAGACCCAGTGAAGATTAATTGTAGTTTAATCATGGAAAAACAAATAGAGGTCTTATATGACCATGTTTAACCATTATAAACATTTACGAGGCCCTATTTAACCACAAGTTAACAGTGACAAATTTGAGAACCTGTGCGGTAGCCCACCTTGCACACCCTCAAAGACAGTCCTGTATAGATATATTAAATTTTTATCTTAAAATGGATCAAAGAAACCATACATATAAGGGTACATGTACAAGTGAATTACACATATTCAAAACAACTTCAGAACTTGATATTAATAACAGAAGGCTCGGTTGAGGCAGAGTCGTCGTAAGTTTTTAGAGACTCTGTATAGGTTAGCCACGGTTCAACCATGACAAAACAAATAGAAGTCATTTTTAACCATGTTTTAACAATGACATATTCTATGAGGGCCTATTTACGAAGGGTTTAACCGTGACAAATTTTGGACCATGTTCAGTAGCTCGCCTTACACACCCTAAAAAACGGCCCTGTTGAGGCATAGGTAATAGATATATACAAAAGCGAGATAGTTGTTTGTGAGCAGCTTACACCAAGTATATCATTGTAACAACAATGACCAAATCTTATCTCACGAAGGGGAGTAACCTACATGGATCAAAACTATGCCATAATGTTATATCAAAAACCAAGTATGTATCATAGCAAGAAAATAAAATCAGAATTGACAAACACGGATAGCGGAAAAGAGCAGTTTGTTCAAATCATTTATCAAGCACATACTCTGGGAATCATAACCATCGCCGCCAGACGACTTAATTTGATATCGATCAGCAAGAGTACGCTCAGCCAAGCATTCAAGGACTAAATAATTCAGTTCTTCAACTCTTTGAAGCAGTTTAAGAGCAGCCAAAGGCCTGTCACCACCAAACCCTGCTCCACAGCCAATGTAAACCTTATCCCTTCTCCTTTTGGGATTATCTCTCTGTAATATAACATCAACATAGTACATTTTGATGCTTAATTAAAGACAAAAATTAGAAAAAGATAACAAAAGTTAAAGAACAAGCAGTTCACCTGCTTAATCAAACAGTTATGAATCTCTTCTCCTTCTTGGTATTCCATTGCTTTAACTTCCATAAGGTCGGAATCAAATACCCAGATGATTATTAAACAAATTTCATTTCACACAAAGCAAAAATATCATAAATCACATTGATAATGAGAATATGAAGAGTAAATGAGTAATAATAGCTTGGTCTTGATGCTAGAATCAAATTATTTGATTCATTCATATAACACCAAAAGTTAATATTGAATCAATCTAAAATTGATGGAAACTGCTACTACAGGAAAATTGATTTGAATCAATTTATAATTCAAAGGGGCTTTTTGAGATAACTATTGCTTTTTTGTCATATTAAAAATAAATACGGTTGATATAACTTTTTTTCTTAATAAGTTTGCCATGTTTTTTATTTATTTTTAATATTCAAGTTTGTCAGGTTGATTATGTCCGTAATACAAGTTTTTTATAATATATATATATATAAAAGACGTTACTTTTTAACTTATTATAAAGGATGGTTATATTTAATCAGAATTTTTAAATTATATAAGATAATTATTATATATATATATATATATATATATATATATATATATATATATATATATATATATATATATATATATATATATATATATATATATATATATATATATATATATATATATATATATATATATATATATATATATATATATATATATATATATATATATATATATATATATATATATATATATATATATATATATATATATATATATATATATATATATATATATATATATATATATATATATATATGATATAATTAGGGATTGGCAACGGGACGGGTCGGGGCGGATTTTACTATATCCGCACCCGTCTCCATGTAACACATCCGTTTTTGCCCTCAAACTCAACCGAAGATAAAAATTTACCGTCCAGACCCGCCCCAGTAGAGAATGGGTCCACCCACCCCACCCTCACCCGCCAAAAAATTAATTTCTTTTTAATTGCAATAAAAATTAATAATTTAATTAAAAATTGATTATTCTAATAAATTAATTAATTATTTAATTAAAATTTTAATTACTAAATGAATATTAATTTGATTAATTTAATTATTTTAATTATAATAAAAATATTAATAATTTAATTTAAAATATAATTAATAAATGAATATTAAAATAAGTAAAATAAGAGAATTAAATTAAAATGCATTATTTGGGGGCGGGCCCGTTGCGGACGGGTCTTAGTGTCTCCCCGCACCCGCACTCGTAACCACTCAAATCAGATTTTCCTCCGTTAATTTCAGGGCGGATCCGGACGGACCCCGACGGATCTGGATTTGTTTGTCATGTCTAAATATAATTAAATTTTTTAAAATGATAAATAAATTTGTTTACCATCAATAAACAATATAATAATGAATGATTAATTTTAAAATGATAAATAAATTTTTATACCGTCAATAAATAATATAATAAATGAATCATTAGAGAATCGAAATTATTAAATCAAACTCGTTACTATTTCACATTCACAATTTGAAAGGATGATTTATACAAATAGGTTTAATCTTACCTATTTTATTTTTGGTTACATGAGAGCTAATTCGACAAAATCAAATAAATATATAATAAAATAAAAATTGGATTCATCTCAACAAGTTAAAAAAGAGAATTTTAACTTTCTCATCATTTTCAAATCAAAGAATAGATTCAAAAAAACTGAGCGGAAATTGATGTTCGTCGGTCAATATCAAACTTGAATAAATTAGAAGAAGACCACTCTTATTTTAGGTTGATTTTAAATTTTCTTTTGTTAAATATAAAAGGTGAAAAAAAAAACTAATAATAACTTTTTAATAATACTAGATGGTTTCTATCTTGTCACAATAAATTTAATACCACGTAGAGTTTCTCAATTCTATTATTTAGTATCTAACAAAAACAAAATATTGAATAAATAGAAAATAATAACGAACTTCAATCATCGCTCATCACAAATTTCGATAATGTGTTGTAGCGTATTTTTTAAGTTAAAAAGGAAAAATATTTTAAACAGAATATGTATTAATATAGGTTTTATATATTTATTTTTAAATATTATTTTTATTGAATATTTTTTCTTCTATTTAGTTTTTTTTAATAAATTTAATCTAATATATATTTTCTCCATTTATTTTTAATTTTTAATTTATTTAATTCTTTTTTTATTTTATTCGGTTATTATTTTTAAATTTATTATAATATAAATTATTATTTTTTAAATAATAGATTTAGTTATTTATTATAAAAATAAATAAAATTTGATAATAAATAGTTAATAATATTAAAAAATAAGATAAATAATTTTACAGTAAAATTTGTTAATATTAAATTTACTTTGGGTTAATTTTCGTACATAAAGTAATAATCACGTGGATAACATTTTTATTAATACAAGTATCATATGGACACCTAATCATATTTTTAATAAAACTAAATCGTAAATGGTAAAACATCATCTCATTTTAAGTTTTTAATAATATTAAAAAAAATTACAAATTGAAATGTATAATATTTTAATAAATATCTATTTTAAATAATGTAATTTAACATATCACATATATAGATATTAATTAATGAAGAAAAAAATAATATTCAATTTAAAATTAAAAAAAAAAAGTAACCAACTCATTACATCTTTATTAAAATTTTATATACTAAATATATAGTATATGTTTCTAAAACTTATGTCGACTTTAGACTCTTTCGTATTTTTTAAGAGAAAAATCAAAGTTACCATATATCACCATTTTACCTTTATTAAAATTTAAGTTAATTTTTGTACCAAAAACAAAATAAAGTTAATATTTGTGTGTATTTTTTAGTTTTCAAAAATTAAAAAGTGAAAAGTAAAACATGTAAAAGTTGTTTGATTTTTAAGACAAGGAAGAAAAGTAAAAGATATAAAACTTGTTTTTTTTTAACACTAAAATAAAGAATAGTTTATGAAAATAATTATACAATCATATAATCAAATAAATTTTAAATTTTATAAAAATTTAAAAATTAAAATATTTAATTATAATTTTAGTCTCCTATTTTATCTTTTTAAAATTTTATACTCCTATTTTGATTTTTTTTTTTTAATTTTGGGTTGGATTTTGATATTTTTTTAGGATTAAAATCCAACACAAAAACATTAGAAAAATAATATTTAAAATTGGGAGATCAAAACAAAAAATAAAATGAAATGAAAAATCAAAATTACAATGAAAAATCAAAATTACAATTAAGCCAAAAAAAAAAAAATTTTAAAAATTAAATCAATTAAGTCTTAAGATGAATAGACTGCATGATATTCTTTAGGTAAAAAAATTGTTTGTAAGAATGTAGATTTGCATGCTAAATAATTGTACAAGTTGCTCTGAGAAGAAAACATAACCGTAAATAATCACAATATTAAACTCATCTCCAAAATTACATAGTGGAGGTGTGGAGTCAATGATTCTTACCAATCTTAAATTTTTTTAGATAAGGCTAGCTGAAAAAGTGAGAGTGAGATTGTAATGTGGATCAAGATTAATAATGTGAGTAATTTATATTTTAAGAAATATTATTAGATTCAAGTGAGTGGTTAAGTCTTATATGCAAATCAAGAAATTTTTTAACATATAAAAAAAACTCATATATTTAGTATTTTAAGATTTTGAGTTGAGGTGCGAGTGAATCACACTTAAGAATGAGAAGAATGAGATTGTTGAAATTCATGTGTAAGTAGTTATGTCACACATGATGAGGGATATAATGTTGATATTTTCATGTGAGTAGTTAAGTTATGCATATATAGTTGAAATTTAAGTATGAACACTTAAATAGGACATGATGAGTAGTTAAGTCACACATTGACTTATTTTTATAAGATAAATTGAGTAAATGCAAAACATGGAATTTAAGCAAGTTATTTTCTCTTTTAATTCAAAAAGTGTGTGGATTGTTTAATTAATTAATACTAAATAAGAATAAATCAGGATCTATTTTATCTTTTTTTTATAACAAGTCTTATCGAGAGAGGTTGAGGGTCAAGCATTTTCACCTTGCCTATGGGTTATACCTTCCGCTGGCACTGTTAGATATGAAAGACGTTGTCCTCCAAAACTTGATTTTAGCAACGTAGATCGACTCATACCATCACACATCTTCACCATGTTGGTCAAAGAGGTTGAATGTGAGGGCAGTAATCTAGCTAGGATTTGCAATTGTAGTCCGGGTCAGTTTTACTGGGCCCTACAGTAAGCGCCAATAAAACTTGGTAAAAGAATAATACATGACAACCCCTAGTAATTAAGGATTGTCAGAGACTTTATTGTATGTTGTAGGATTGAGAATTAGCTCAGGAAATGAGGTGAAAAGCTCCGCATATGTAATTTTTGTATCAATATGTGATTGTTCCCTTTCCAACTAAATGAATGAGATATTTATAGTCGTAATGGGCATGGATAATTAATCTCCTAATACTTAGGGGAGCATGATTAACTTTCCTATGACTCCTTCTACAACGCCAACAAATCATGGACACATTACATCGCCATCCTCCCACGTTAGGTAGGTCATTCCAAAAATAGGTGTTCTATCTCGTAAATGGGTGATCAATAAGGCTTTATAACATAGTCATTTGTTACATTCATGGCCACAAACACACTATTAAATAACAACTACATCAATATTATAACAAAACCATGTATCTTACACTGAAAATAGTACCAATATTACAAACACATATGAAGTTTGTATATCATCTGGATTTTAATCTAAAGCTGTTCCATTTCAGCTTGATAATAACATAGGCTTACTTCCATAAACTATAATAAACACAAGAAGTTCAAGGCCTGAAAGTCATCAAAACATTACATATTAGTAACCACATATGACCATTCTTAATCAAAGCATAACATATTAGAAACTTATCAAAACATCTTCAAAGTGCATGAGCTGACTTGCGGTGACCCTCAAGCTTGGCAAAGGCATCCATCATGGTTTCAACTTACTTATGTTGATCCATGTAGCTGAAGGATCCCTAATACTGAACCGGAGGATGTCTC